AATGAAACCATGTAAAGTGAAACAATAGTTGCATTCAAATGTGTCGAGTGAACCAAATAAGCATTTAGTTGACAGAAAATCAAAAACTCACTGTTTCAAATTGTGAACATGCATTCCTTTCGAGTGCTACACACACACATACACACACACACACACACACACATACCGAAAAAAAAACGAAGCGGCTTGAACTCTTTGGAAAGTTGAAATATGCACAGTGTACACACTCACGAAACATATGTTGTACGGCACAGCGCCGACGACGACGGCTGTGAATGGATTATGTTGAAAGTCATGAATGGTTATAAACGATATTATTGCATGATTCGCAATTTTCTTCAATAAAACCACGTGCTTTTTTTCCCTTGGAAAAACCATCTCTTCTCCCGTTGTAATGATGAACACATTTCGGTGAAACGAAACAAAACGAATCTTTCAATTTAGAAAGTGAAGCGAGCGCTCATACAAAACATTGACGGAATGATTGAGTTCGTGCAGTAATTCATTTCAGGTCTTTGATAATAAATCGCGCTGAATAAGGTAAATAGTATTTTCATACATTTATACATGTGCACATATCCGGAGGCATTCAACGAAAACGAACCAGGCTCATATTCATGGGCGAGCAAGTTAACAAGTGAGCGAGCAGGCACGCACATACATACATCCATCATGTGCACAATGCAAATGCTTTTAGCGTTTTATAAGAACGTTTAATATACGGCGTTGAGTGATAAGAACGACGTTAAATTTCTTAAACTCAGTTTTTGAATGCGATTCAACAATGATGGAAATTATTATACTCCAATTAAAACCATGCATTGTTCCACTTTATTTAGTTTGCGAATACGAATTAAATCATTCATGCAATTGACTGTGCGCCGTTTGTACGTAAACTTGTTTAGATTCTTCATTTAATAATAAACAAAAACCTGTAACAATTAAACAATTCATTCGTGTGCGAGTTTTTTTCTTCTTCTATTGTACCGAGCACAGTAAAAGTACTCAGTGACTTTGCTAAACTCCCATTGAAAATATATGTGTTTTTGTTGAATGGGGAAAAAAGCACGACGAAATGGAAAGTGCGAAGGGAAAAAGTTCTCTCTAGCATCGATGTGCCAGAATAAAAATGTTCATCGTCGCGCTTACTTCATGAAAATGTTAATCAGATTCTAATCATAGTTGATGAGTCATCAGATGAACTATTTTTTTCTTCAGCAAAATATGAATCCCTGAGATTACAAGACAAACCTTGGTGAAGTACATAGAAACAGGAACTTGAAATCGGTCGCACGTAAATGAGTTGTTGTTGCTATCATGACCGAAAAAAAATCGTTGAAATTGTTTTCAACTTGAACGGCAGAACCTAAACTATGGAGCTAACAATCAAAAAACGACCAAACTAGCTTTTCGTGTCATTGTGGAATAGATTTTTCTATTCTCTCTTAAGAGAGATGTGTGAACATTGAACAATCGATGCATCGTTGATAAATGTACGTTGGTTGAAATCTGATTGGAGCTTTCTTTAACAATCTGGGGCCTGTTGCACAGTACTGTTACAATTTTTGTAAATTGTAACTGTAATTGTGAATACAATTCGTTGTAAAATTGTATTTACAATTCTACAATAATTGTAAAAATGTTTTGTCAATAATGAATGTGACAGTCAAAAGAAAAAGCGATTGATATCTAAATTATATTCACAATTTATATGTTTTGTATTTATTTTTACTAAAAAATATTTTATTTCTAACCGCTTCTAAACTTCCATGTCATCGGCAAACTCAGATTGTGGATTTACAACTGACGATTTGTCACAAACACAAAAATCAATCTCATCAATCGAACCATTTAATTTTTCCAAATATGAATTATAATGCTGAAAAGTCTTTTAGACTGAAACTCATTCATTGAAATTGTCAATCAAACCGATTGTAAAAACATGATTTCATTTCGTTAATAAACAACACAAACAACACAGCCATTTCATCTGAATGCATCTGAAACATAAATTGGTTTAAATATTGAGTATTTTTTTACTTAAATACACAGACTGTAACAACATGCCACTTATATAATATTGAATATTTAAACCGATTGTTTCAGTGTCACTTTGTATTGATTCAATGTTTCAGATGACAAAAAATTGGCCTTTTTGTGTTCTTTTTTCAAATCGGGTCTGTGTATTTAAGTAAAATACTCAATATTTAAAATAATTTATGTTTCAGATGCATTCAGATGAAATGGCTGTGTTGTTTGTGTTGTTTATTAACGAAATGAAATCATGTTTTTACAATCGGTTTGATTGACAATTTCAATGAATGAGTTTCAGTCTAAAAGACTTTTCAGCATTATAATTCACTAGCGTGGCCCAGCCCGCTTCGCTGGGCATAAATTAATGGAATGGCAGAAAATTTGAATGGCACGTATTATTGGTTCTGTGAGTGAATTGTTTGTTTTGAAAATCCACGCGGGTCGCTCTCGTTTCGGTTCTATGGGTTCTATTTCGCTTCTTCATTTTCACAACGCATTCTCTGCATATGTGAATTAGGAATTTTTAAATTTGTATACATTTTTTAAAACCAAAATTATTAATTTCTCACAAATTGAATAACAAACTCAGAGAAAAAATAATACAATGAAAATCTGCTATTTTCAAAACAAAAAATTTGAAAAACTTCGGGAAACCCGGGAACCGGAACTATGGGAAAATAACACCTTTTTTCAAGCGGCTTTATTTTTTTATTGGAACTTCAAACCAAGGTCGCTTTTTTCGTATACAAATACATGGGAAAGGTTTGACGTAAGACGCCAAGACGCCTCTACGCGTGGTATGCTCAATGCTGTCATCGTACACATATTGAACACGAACATTGTCGTTTACACAATCGCACTCACGCAAATGAACGCGTCGATAGTGCCCGCTCAATATATGCACGATGACTGTTTTGAGTGTCCCTCGCCTAGAGGGCTGCGTGTCGTTTTTCTTCGTTTATTAAGCAATCTTGGTCAAACACACGTGGTGACTCTTTCTAAACCATCCCTATGAGATCGCCAACGCACCACAAAAAAATAAATTGATCATCTCCAGCCAGTAGCTCAATCCTTGAGGACATACATTAAGTAACTTGTCTTTATATGTATATATAGATATTCGGGAAAATTAAATGGTTCGATTGATGAGATTGATTTTTGTGTTTGTGACAAATTGTCAGTTGTAAATCCACAATCTGAGTTTGCCGATGACATGGAAGTTTAGAAGCGGTTAGAGATAAAATATTTTTTAGTAAAAATAAATACAAAACATATAAATTGTGAATATAATTTAGATATCAATCGCTTTTTCTTTTTGACTGTCTCATTCATTATTGAAAAACATTTTTACAATTTATTGTAGAATTGTAAATACAATTTTACAACGAATCGTATTTACAATTACAATTACAATTTACAAAAATTGTAACAGTACTATGCAACAGGCCCCTGAATGAATTATCATGTGCAGGATCACCTTTTTTAATACATATTCTGCCTATTTTAAGTTTATCGTATGACTAACTGTGTTGAAAAACAGCAGAGTTCATATTGTAGCTAGTTAGACACGTTCCATTATGCATGGTTGGGATTTTAATTACGTAGTAATTAAAGAAGGCAGGAGTATGATGGAAATCAGAAATGCCATAAGTCATAATAATTCACCAATTTGATATGAACTTGCATCTAGAAAAAAACATTCGGAAATTCATCAATGCTAATCGATTTGTTCCAGACATTAGCACACATAATAATTTTGATAACACATTGAATTGTCGCATAGCATGGGTATAAAATGCCGAGCATCGTTTAGAGCAAAGAACAGAGCTTTTCTTAAAAGGTTTAGAAGAAAAACAATTCATTTTCGGATAGATTCGATTCGATTAACAAAATGAATTTCAAGGCATTTATTTTATTTGCCGTTGTGTTATTGGTACTCGGAAGCTCATTTGGAAGCCCATTTGGAAGCCCATCAACCATCAACTCTTCCACAAGAACGTCCAGGACCTGTTCAGGCGGGAGAAAGTAAGTTAACAAGAAAAATGTTGCAAATTTTGCATTGAAGCGGTTTGTAGTTTGCAATGCAGAATGAAAATACATAACGGAGGCAATTGTCTTGGAGGCAGATGTGAATGCTTTGGAGGAGTAAGAGAATGAACTGTTATACCCAATAAATGAATCCGCTTTTTAAAAGTGTTTTCCTTCTAAATTGAATCGAGGTAATTTCGATCGATTTTGATAGTACGAGTTTTTTTTTCGATTCTATTCAATATTGTTGAAAATGATGTTCCAATAAAATGACTTTCAAAGCATTCGCTCTTGTGCTTTATGCTTGAGTAAGTCACACATCTGTCCCTTATCATGCCGATAGCAAACATGAAATTGCTGCAATCCAATTTTTAAAAAATGATTCATTTTGTTTCATGTGTGTAATGATTTCTTTATTTTCTCTTTACAGTTGTGAATGTTAGGTTTTCAATGATTCATTTTCTTGAATGAAATAATCTACCCATTTAGCGTGTATGTATTCATTTCGAAAGCATACAAATTTTATTTACTCAAAAGAGATTATTCCATTTTTAGACCGGACGTGTAAGTATTTTATTAAACTTCTTAGTTAGAACACACAACTGTATGTAAATACACTAGAACACACCCTGTCGTAGGACTCACGAGTCAGTTTGTATGAATTTGAGCGAATCATTACTGACTTGGGATGACAAATAAGCCCCTTGGCGCATAGTGATGTCTGTGTATCTTGCGTTCCGAGTGTGCAGGTTGTGCACACACACGCACGCATTATGCGATATTGAAAAGAAAGTAATGAATGCTTGCGATATTATCACAATAACGTCATAATGCGATAATGAAAGTATGCATCCATGATTCATTGATTTTATTATTCTGGCCTTTATTTTTTTTTTTTTTTTTGAATAATTCATAAATTGTGAGCTTGTCATTTAAAAATGACGTTGAATTTCGTCGGATTAATATTTTTATTCGTGAGTGGTTACTTTCAGGGCGATTTTGTGGTAGATTCAACATTCCTGAATAATGGTCATGAATCCAATCTACGCATTTTTCGCCAGAATATCAAATCCGATCGAAATGGAAGTAGAGTCAAAATCATGACACATTCACACGATGGCAACGGTGTGAACGAAATTAGGCACCTAAACAGTAAGTAATTTCTAGAGTTTTATTGCTTTATAAATAAACTTGCAATGATTTCGCTGAAAATAGCTGCAAATCGAAAAAAAAAGTTTAAAAATCCTATTTACCGGCCAATTTGTATTACATGACTCATGTAAATATAAGTGATATCAACGTTAATCTCTTCCATTAAAAAATACTCAATGGAATGGTATCGATGACGAAAAATCTCGACCAAGTGTGTCAAGTGAAAGTGGAACATGAACAAATTTGCATTCCCGTAACATTTATTTATACAATATTTCTGTGGTTTATTTCTGTCAATTATTAAAATTCCTTTCATACATTCATTTCACTCGTTTTAGTGAAATATGATCCAAATCCATTAGCCGAGGATATTACAACATCAACTCATCGATCTCGTCAACAAATTGATTCAAACCCAAACAATGGATACACGATTGAGGTTTTGATAGTTATAGATACATCGATGCAAATATTTCATACTAAAAAAGGCAGTAATGTCACTGAATACGTTTTATCACTTATGTCAATGGTTATAGATATGTTTGCACACACAAGCATAGGTAGTTTTATAGACGTAGCCGTTGTTGGTATAGAGAAAAATCTTGTTGTTGAAAAAGGTAATTCAGTTAGTCATATGGAGTTAGTCACATTTTAAAACTGTTACTAACTCTTTATTTTCAAATTCAGACAACGATATGCTGGCCAGTTTTCAAAATTCAATGAGCAACCAAACAAGGAAACGCAACTATGATGTTGGCCTACTTCTAACAAGGTAAAAAAAAGTATGAATAGAATTTGTTTTCATGTTAGCAGTATGCATATTCATATGTTGTGTGAACACTATCATGACATATACTATGCATCCGGCGGAATTCTTTTACACGAATTTTTTCAAAATATCTCTTCATTTTGCAGAGAAAATATATGTGAAGGTTGTGATGAAAAAGTGGGACGAACTATTCGTGGCGAAATGTGCTCTCCCAAACCATACGCGGTTGTTTATGATTATGGTCCAAAATGTGCAATTACCATAGCTCACGAGCTTGCTCATCTGTATGTTGATCACTAAAAGTTTTTATTCGTTGAGATTTAACTAAATCCCTTGAATCTTTTATCTTGCTCATTCCATGTGCAGTTTGAATGCTCCGCATGACTGGGACGTTGCGTGCTCTAAGTTTCCCTACAATGAGCATATGCATATTATGGGTACTAAGGAAAATAAAACGTGGTCAACTTGTTCGCGACATTTCATCAGACAATTTTTGGAGTAAGTGTAAAGTACTTGAGAATCTGTATGGATGTTAAATTTATTATCTCTTTCGATAGAGACGAAAAAGGATCTTGCCTGTTAAATCAACCATCGAATAATATGTTGGAACGTATTAAACCTGAGAACCCCAAACACACCGATGGAGGATGGAGTGATTGGAAAATGTAAATATTTCTAAAATGTTTTTATTTAAAATATTTCTGTGTTGGGTCATAGCAGGGAACAGCATTTGCTTTCTTTTGAAATGAGCACTCAAAATAGTATTGCTCAAAGTGGTCTCTCAATAAGAAACTCCTTCGATTGAATATTTCATCAAATAAACTGTGTTCTATTGAGAAATGTAGCCATATTTTGAACACTAGAGACTTTTTCACTTGCACAACGGGCACGCGTCTGTGTTTCATATATTTTGCTCTGCCTGTGTCATTCGAGCGTAAAAAAACCTGCCTATTCGGATCGGCCAATCTAGTGGGCAGGTTTTACTTTTACGCTCAAAAGTTTGTTAGATGCACGGCTTTTGTGTGTTTGGTTTTTGCGCTTTATTTACAATATACTTATTTGCATTTTTTGGTTTTATTTTACTTCTGTAAATACATTTTGTAGGATATTATTTCAATCTTAGGCTGACAGCCTGAATGAAATACAGAGATAAATAGCGTATTTTTTTTTCAATACGAACGTCGTCATTTCACTTTGGACCGAAAATATATGCCTCGCCGAAAGATGACGGTTAACAGAAGTGACGGTTAATAGAGATAATAGAGAGACGGATAATCGAAATCGTACTGTATTACTGTTCTATCTCTTTGAATTACTTCTTCTTTACATAATGAATTCGTAGGACGAATTTCGCCAATTTTGATCCTTTTGTGTCGATCATTACTTTTCAAAAATATCTAATTAATGTGAACAAATCACCGGCGTACATAATGACAATACTCGGCATATATCCATTTGATGGTCTATGGTGTGGTATGGTTTGTGATTGTGTTTGGTTTCGTTTCATTTTGAATAGTGTAGAAGAAAATGATTCTTGAAAATATACATATATACTAAAACATATGAGAGAATACACAGTTCGATAAACCGACCCAGTGCAAAGCTGTTCGAAGATGTCGAATTAGCACCACCTTCCCCTATAGATAGATGTGTGATTGTGCTGAAATAAATACTGAAGCAAGCATAACACAGAAGCAAATACTCTCAAAGCTATTTTATTGGAACATCATTTTCAACAATATTGAAGAAAATCGAAAAAGTTTGGACCTACTGCCAATTTATGTTCCTCGGGATAAATTTACTCCTCGGATTTTCATCAGAACACCAAAATTGTCAGCAAAATTTATACCCATCGCATAGAAAATTGATGTTTAACTTTATTCCTGTTCCTAATAATGGCAGAAGTATTGAAAATATTTGGTCATATCAAGATATTTGAAAAATATTTTACCCCGAGAAACGTAAATTGGCCGTTAGAAATCTGTCGAAACTACCTCGATTAAGTTCAAATGAAATCATTAGGTATAACAGTTCATTCTCCTCCTTGAAGGGCGCACTTACATACGTTGTTAAAACACGTGCCCATACAGGAGGCTGCAACATTGACTTCTTTCCATACTAATTTGACGTTTGTTAGTGGTGAACGATTTTGCAGTGCCATCTGCACATATTTGACTATTCAAAGTGAACTAGCTGTTATCAGTAATGATGAGTCATTGATGTTCAATTTTAGGTCATAAACGGCACTTTTGCAATTTTCAATGTACCGTTTATGACCCAAAATTGAGCATCGATGACTCATCGATACTGATGACAGCTAGTTCACTTTGAATAGTCAAATATGTGCAGATGGCGCTTTTCGTATTTGAGGTGATACGTTGCAGCTGCCCGTGCCCATACGAAAGCCTTCTTTTTTGCATAGCTTATTACATTGCACAAAATTGCACCTCGCGGCTATAAAATTCGAAATAAACGTAAAAATATTTTTATAAATAATAGAATTTGCAACATTTTCCTTGTAAACATACCAGGTGGCGGCTGATTGGGTGCTGCGTCTTCTTTAGGAAGATTTGATGAGCTACCAAATGAAAATAATGCCAATACCATAATGGCAAACAAAATAAATGCCTTAAAATTCATTTTGTTAATCGAATCGAATCTATTCGAAAATGAATTGACTTTCCACTAACCCCTTTGAGACATGCTCTGTTCTTTGCTGTGAACGATGAGTAGAACAAATCAGAGCTAGAATTTTCGGAGGTATTTTCTAGATTCAAGTTCATATCGAATTGGTGAATTATAAATTAGTGCATTTCTGATTTCAATTATTTTCTCGCCTTCCTAAATTACTACATTTATGTAAAATCTCAACCATGCGCAATGGAACGTGTTAAACAGCTACAATATGAATGTAGCTGTGCTGTTTACACCCAAGCACGACTCCACACTTAACTTCTGAATGCGACACCTAGCTATAGTGTGAGCATTCATCGTACGAATAAACGACAAAGAGAATGAACACAAGTGCGCGTGTATTAGTCGCTACATTTATAAGCATCACATCAGGCTACATACTAACACACGCGCACTTGTCTTCATTTTCTTTGTCGCTTTTCCGTGCGATGAATGCCCACACTTAGCTAGGTGTCACATTTAGAAGTTAAGTGTTGAGTCGCGCTTGGGCAGTTTGTAAGATTATGATAAACCCAAAATAGGTAAAATATGTAGAGAAAAACTGACTTAAAAGCATTGAAATGTCAATTGCTTTGACGTTCTAGTCACAAATTTCCGAGATCCTTTGCAATATGTAAATAAAAATGAAAGAAACAATTATGTATGTAATAGCGATTGAAGATAGTGTTGGCTTCGAACGTTCGTTCGACCGTTCGACAATATAAAAAAAAATTGTTTTGTTCGTTCGTTCGTTCGAAAGTTTTGTAAAAAATTATTTTGTTCGTTCGTTCGTTCGAAAAGTTGAAAATTATTTTTTTTGCTCGTTCGTTCGTTCGAAATTTATGAAAAAAAAATTGTGTTCGTTCGTTCTTTCGGAAATTGCTATGTTCGACCGTTGGGATTTTTACATTTGAAATACATAGGAAGCAAATACAATTTTCATTTCTTTGGGTAAGACTGAAGGTACAACGTAATTACCGGTGTTATTACTGAGTAATACCACTGGTAATAATTATAATAGATCCGAAAAAGCTCAGACAAAAATCTGCCGAAACCACTCCGATTAAATTCAAATGAAAACACTGTTAAAAAGCGGATTTATTTATTAGGTATGACAAGGTTTTTATTCATTAGTCTCCTCCTTTTGTTCATCGCCATTATCGCACTTACAACTACCATCTATACATTTGCCTCCCTTAAATTCTCTTAATTTGCAACCCGGATCACAAAGCAAAGTAAGGCACGACCACTCAGCTATAAAATTCGATATAAACGTAGAAATATTAATTAAGAATTTGCAACAATTTCCTTACTAACTTACTCTCTTCCGCACGAACAGGTGCTGTGTCATCTTCAGAAAGAGATTTTGCAAGCACAAATGAACTTCCAAACGCCAATAACACAATGGCGCACAAAATAAATATCTTGGATTTCATATTGATAATTGAACTGAATTTATTCAAAAATGAATTAGTTTTCTTCTAAACCTTTCGAGATAGGCTCTGTTCTTTGATGTAAATGTTGCTCAGTCTTTTATACCCATGCAATGCGACAATTCAATGTGTTATCAAAATTATTGGGTGTGCTAATGAGTGCAATAAATCGATTAGCATTGATGAATTTCCGAATGTTTCTTTCTAGATTCAAGTTCGCATCGAATTGGTGAATTATTATGACTTAGTGCATTTCTGATTTCAATTATATTCCTGCCTTCCTTCATTACCACAATTTATGCAGTTAAAAATTCAACCATGCATAATAATGGAATGTGACTAACTAGCTACCCAGCTGTTTCCCAACATCAGATTATGATAAACCCAAAATAGGTAAAATATGTAGAGAAAATGTCATTCCAGTTAGTCCTGCACAAGATAATCAATTCAGATTGGTAAAGAAAGCTCCAATCAGATTTCAACCAACGTACATTTATCGACGATGCATCGATTATCCACAAATCTCTCTTTCTCTCCTTTGATGAACAAAATTTTGGTCGTTTTTTTACTTCTCTTGTTAGCCCCGTAGCTCAGGTTTTGCGTTTCAGTTGAATACAATTCAAGAAAACAATGGAGGAAATAATTGTTATAATGCTTGAATGAAATCAATCAAATTTTTGCATAATAGAAAACAGATTGTCTGATGCTTACTTAGTTGTATGTTAAATATTATGGCAAAACTGTTGGTCCTTTTGATTTATCTAGATAATCAAAAATGATCAAGATTACACAAATTTTTCATACAGAATATTCATCAAAAAACGAAATTTCTTTCGAAAATCATAAATTTATCTTAAAAAGTATCTAGATACCACTAAAAAATAGAAAGAATCTGGTATCTTATTAAAAAAAAAAACTTTATCTTTACCCAACACTGGGTATTTTTGCATAACTAATATTGGTTTTCATTCGTAATCAGATCCGGCCAATGTACGCGACCATGTGGTGGTGGCGTACAATGGTATGCACGCGAGTGTAATAATCCGATTCCTAAAACTGTATACTGTATTGGAAGGCACACATTTTATGAGTCATGTAATACTCACGATTGTCCCGTTGCTGCATTGGATTTTCGTGAAAAGCAGTGCATTGCTATGAATAACTGCACGCATAATTGGACTGCACATCATAACTTGTACGCAAAGGACCAGTGCAAATTGGTTTGTTGGAACATCTATAAGAAAGAATATCGGGTGCTCAGCGGAAAGGTAACCGAATAATAAATATTATGCTAAGCTCGGAGCTAGAACTATCTTTGAAATTGACAGGTGATTGATGGTACGCCTTGCCGCCAAAACTCGTTTGACAAATGTGTCATCGGCATTTGTCGTCCTGCTGGATGTGATAATAAGTTAAATTCCAAATTAAAATTGAACAGTTGTGGAGTGTGCTACAGAAATAACAAGATATGCCAATACTATTCCCAAACATATTCCGCCAAACAAATTATTGAACTGAATGAAAACAGAAAATATTCAGGTTACTATAACGTTACTAAAATACCAAAAGGGGCTGTGAATGTCGAAATCATCCGGTTCGGACAATATGGAGATGGAAACTACCTTTGTAATATGCAAATATTACGTATAATTGTTATTAATTGAAAGTTTGATTATTTCATATTTTCTTGCCATCGCGTCAGAGCATTGAAGTTGCTGGCTATGTAGCACTGCTGGTGAACAGATCTGTTCAACAGCAGCTGTTGGTTGCGTCATAGGGTGGAAGCATCAACAAAATTCAAATTGGCGCGCTGTTTAGTTGAGAAAAAAAATTACGAAATTACATTGATTTTCCTATTTGAATTGAGGGCGCTCGCGTCGCCACAGTTGTTTTCGGTCTTAGCTTCCACTCGATGGGTTGCGTGCATATTCGCTGTGACGCGCACTTGTTCATTTAACGATTCTCACACATAGTGTTTGTCTCTTTCATTCACAAGGAAACAGACAGAGAAGCGAATACAACAGGCTTCGAGTGAGATTTTTTATTTTGTTCATTTCACCGTTATTTGTCAACAAGTCTGCCTATATCCACGCATCGCCACTGTACATAGTATATGTCTCTAAGAAATACACAGAGACAATGAAAAAAGATAGGCAGATTTGTTTACAAACAACAAAGAATAAACAAAACAAAAATCCCCATAACTAATGCATTGGCAATATAAGACTAAATGGCGAACATTTTACATTTCTTATGGACTGTACTCTATGTAAAGTGGCAATGCGTGGATATAGGCAGACTTGTTGACAAATAACGGTATAATAATGAACAAAATAAAAAATCTCTCTTGAAGTCTGTTGTATACGCTTCTCTGTCTGTTTCCTTGTGAATGAAAGAGACAAACACTATGTGTGAGAATCGTTAAATAAACAAGCGCGCGCCACAGCGAATATGCACGCAACCAACAGCTGCTGTTGAACAGATCTGTTCACCAGCAGTGCTACATAGCCAGCAACTTCAATGCTCTGCATCGTGTTGTAGTGTTTAAACAAGTTCAAGGAATATGGAAACCGGTGGAAGGCCATTCATTTATTGATCAAAAGAATCCAGAATATTTTGATGATGCGTCAACCAAGTCTCGTTTTGAATATACCACTAATAAAACTATAGTAAAATTGGCCACATTGCCATTTAAACCGTTATTAGACGAATTAAATATTAAGGTAGACGAAAAGTTGTGAAAATTACCATCGAAATTGACTAATTTTTCTTTCAATCTGTATCAGATTTTCCTGTCAAAGAGTAAGAAATCAAACGGAGACCTAATTCACTATTCTTATTGGATTAAAAGTAACGACTCTTCAGCGTATGATAAGAGTGATTTTTATGATACGTCCATCCATTCGTATTTTAGACATACCTTAAATGAAACTAATAATAATAATTTAGCGGATCTGACGCGATTTTCTCATGGCCTCATGGTCATGATGATGATTACAATAATGATGATATAAATAATGCAAGGTAATGCAATGATGAACTCTGGCTGATGATAGATAGAACGAAGAACAACCGAAAATGAATGACAAATAATTTGTATTGAGGCTTTTGTTCTGAAATAAAGATTCAATCTCTTCAAATTTTAAATAATTTTTTTTAATAGTTTCTACAGAAAATTGGTCTCTAAAATTACTTTGAAAATTATCGTCTTTTTTTATCAATTGCACAATCGAATGGGTTATATTAATGAATGTATTGGGTCATGACTCTTGATTCAAGGTTGGCACTTCTGAAAAGCATAACACTTCTCATTTTAATTTAATTGGCATTTCGAACTGTTCAAAATTTGCGAAATATATAGTAAGTGGTAAATCTATCGAATGGATGATGAAATGAAAAAAAATTCTTTTAATTAGAACAGTAAATCAATTAGGTTTATGTATCCAATCGATTAAGCGAAAGTTTGATAAAAGCGATGAATTTGAACATTTTTCGAAGCAAACAGAACCTATAAATAACGAGCAATATAAACTACTGTTCCAACTTGAGCGTTACAGTAGCACCTAATCGCTATATTTTTTAAAGCCACAGGACATTTGTTTATCTTTCGTTTTTCAATATGAAAATTAAATTCGGCCAAGTTTTCAATATTTTGATAATTTTTGTGCTTTTAACTATTTTTGCTGATGCTTCCGACGATGCAATGGAATATTCTGGTAAAACAGAACGCTGAGTCTATAAGTTATGGAATCATTTTGTGTTTTATAAATTCGAATTTGTTTTTTTTTTCACAAATAGGACAAGCCACATGCGCAGATATTGGAGGAGTTTGCAGAGCACCGTGTTTAGCTGGAGAAAAGAGTAAGAGTAATCCAGGATGTGGAATGCCCAATCACTGTTGCGTTAAATAACCAATTACGACAACAAAATATATCGGCCACTCTCTGAAATTCGAAACGGTAACTAAAAATCCAACGACTGAAACTGTGCAGCATCAGAGCAATTAATAATTGGTTTTAATAAACAATCAACGATCATATTTTAAAAAAATCTCGACGATTCCATACGAAATCAGACATGGTTGCTTCGTTTTTAGCAATCTTCAAGGCAACTCGATGAAATTTACCGGCAGCATCCAAATTTTAAATTTTCTTCAATCAAACCTTTTCATCATTTACTCAAACTTTATGAAATTTAACAAACAAATTTTTCATTTCGCAATAAATAGCCAAATCGTTCAGTGTTTCGTTAAATGATTTTTTCGACAGAGTTTCGGTTGAAATAAAAAAAAATATAGCACAAAAAATTATAGTTTTCTTAGTTTATTTTGCTTTGAGTGAGATTAAAGCATTCAATAATATAAATGACATGTTTCAGTGATAATAGTATGTTTACCCATAAATTAAAATTCAAACAAGTTAATAATATTCAACAATTTACGAATCATACTCGATTTCTCAAGCAAATAAAGCCAGGAGAACGTGCCACTCTTTAAGTCTAAAGAAGCACACTCTTTATCATAGCCACAAACGGTCGAAACACTTACTCTTATTTAACTATTTTCAAGTGGAAGGAAACTTACGTCTCTTTTCTGCGAAAAAAATCATCAAAGCACATACACATCAACTTTCCAATTATTTGAATCGGAAAGATTACACTTTCAATTTGTTGAAAGAGAAATGGAGTCTTGAGTTGGCGGCCTAGCTACCTTTCCTTTTAGAAATACTTTATTTACTTCAAACGTCTCCAATATGGGCGTATTGTATTATTCAAGCCTGATGTGATTTTGCGTCCTAGGCAAATATACGGCTAGCGTGGCTAGTCTGGCCACAGGTTCGGCACCGAATGGATTCAAAATGAAAATTTAATTGGCCACAGGCTTGTTCTCAAAGAAATTTAATCAGTTCGTTGGTATGACCGATGCTGATCAAATCGTAATCGTTACAATGTAATGAATATTCTCGAATCGTGTATTCTTTGTTCAACAACTGAATGAAAGACCAACGTTTTACTTCTGTCAAAACAAGGATTTATTCTGAATTTGGATTAATCCAATCGGGTAAAGAAGTGCAATTGATACGTTTTAATACGGTTGTTCTACATTTCAAGACCTCGAGCCTTAGTGCTTCCTGCAAGGCATGTACATATTTTTGCGCCTGCTTCGCATCGATCAGCGTCCATTTTATCAGCGCAGTCTTTCACAACTTCCTGGGCAATTTTCATTTTGGCTTCATCTCCATCAGTGCTCATCTTAATCATTGCCATGAAACCATCAGGATTGAATTTGTTATCTTTCATCTAAATTCGGTAAAAAAAAAGTGGGAATGAGTTATATAAAAATGGAATATATACAGCAAGCATTGCTTTAATAGAAAAAACTGAACGAATGGTGTCTTCTACTATAGAAAGTCTAATTTTCAACATAGAAAATAATTTCACAGATATAAATTCTTAATCAAAATAGTTTATTCCACTTACCGTTCCGAATGTTTCGTGCATACAGGCACGATGGCATTTACCCGTTGGGCTGGTTGCTGGTTTTTTGGCAAACAATTCTTCTAAGTCAGCCTGCGATGCATTTTCTTTAGCTGCACAATCCATTACAATTTTTTTCATTGCTGCCATTTTTTCCTCATTCGACGCACCGGCCTGCAAAATATTAACATGGATTTAGAGAATCCGATCGAAAGCAAATCGAATTGAATTAATTCAAATGCACATTGCACATATATGAACCGTGCCATTATAATTGAAACTATCTTCTTTGACAAAATTAATGGCAAACGGTTTTTTTTTTCTCACATTCAAGACTGCCATAACACTGGAAATAATCAAGAAAACAGCCAAGAACTTCATTTTGTTAGATATTTACACAAAGAATTATTTAGTTTTTGAAGCTCAATATTGTGTGTTCCCGAAGCGTATCCTATTACTGATCTGATATTCGTTTGATCTTCATATTTATAGTGATTTTTCCACTATCGTTCAATGATATTAAATTAATTCACTTCTATTTTACGTCAATAGTTTTCAAAATATCAATTGCTCCAACTATTCATTACTGTAATTGCTTGGCCGTGATATTGATGTGGGCATTATAGAACATGACACAGTATTTTCCTTTAGAGTTACTATATACTGTATAGTATGCTATGAAATTTTTGTCATTAAAAATAATATTTTCTCGTCATACTATTAAATATAAAGAACTCAAGTAGTCAATACGTAACAGTAGCATATAATAATTTCGAATTACTCATCATCTTTTCATATTTTATCTTCGAAATAACTTCCGTTAGTGCCGTCACCAAAATGTTTCGGACGAGCTCATTAAGAATACTTTTCTGTTTGTATTTCATCAAACAATATTGGCATTTAAATGGTTGCTCATCAGTGCTGAATGCGAGCATATATGTCTTTCCAAATCGGAGATCATTGGCCCATAGAAGATTTTTTGCTCCCATTCAAAATATATGTGTTTTACTTAACAGCGAAAAAAAACAGCGAAATGCAAAGTTTGGAGCTTGAAGGAAAAGAACAAACCCGAAGAATTTCAGAACGTGTATTTACAATACAGGTGAAATTACGAATATCAAGGTGTAAAATAACACCAAAACTGCTTGAGTCGTTACAATTGTAAACATATCTAGCGATAACATACACACAAACCGTTCTCCGTTCAACCATAAAGTGGATGCAAAACAAAAGACAGCGACGATTAGAGCGAATGCCACAAAATTCCCAAATGATTGAATATTTTGGTTTGTTTCGATCGGATTTCATTGATCCGATGCACAATTGCCATTGCCAATGCCAATGCCAATGTCGTCGTAAAACACCGTCTGATTATACACGCTCGAAAATATCCAGCCAAAAAAGTGGCCCAAATGAAACATCAACAACAAAAACCATAACAAATGGCTTAGCAAATTTATTCAATGTTGTTGGCTTTTTTGTGTACGAGAGCGTTATCTATGTGAAGCAATGCGATACACTGAGACACACAATACAATACACCAATTTGCCTTTTTCATCAAAATAAATATAAACATTGTGCTATACAACATACATACACACATAGTACGTAGTCGATGATATTCGTTATTGTGCCGATGCATGTGAACCGAATTGTGTGTGACGAACAGAATTGCATAGGTTATACTGAGCGAACGTATGTTTCAGTTCACATGATACACACTCGCACATAACAAATCTCATTTAAATGCACCGTATAACTGTCAAAATATATGGAGGACGATATGCAATACACTTCGGTCCATTCGGGGCTTTCTATGTTCCGCATTTCAAAGAAAGCGCACATTCTAAACTCAATGGCCGGTGCCATTAGTTATCTTTGCACCGTACAGTCACCGTACAGTCACCGTACACATATTATGTGCAGATGAAATCATCCAGAACGGCTCTTTTGTATTTTCGGCTAATGTATAATGGCATTTTGCGAATGCGCTTTCTATTCAATCGCTTTCATATCGGAACCAAACTTTTGTCTCTTTCAATTCCATCGCTTTGCTCGCACTCTCACCTCGTTTCAATGGAATGCGCCGGCATTCTCTATTGAGAAGTGCGTGTATGGCTTTATGTGTCCACAAAACACTGCATAATTTGAGGTTTTTCTTTTTGTGTACGTGGGTGTGTGTCTATGCGAACGGTCCATTCGATTTGATCGGAAATATCATTCATTCTGAAATGCGGCACGGACAATTGAGAACAACGATTTCGGACATTTTTCATCAAATTCAAATGATACCATGAAGAATGGCATTCAATATTTTGATTTCTGTACACACCGTGCGACATGTCAAGAATGCTGAACCCAAGGCGGCAACAACGAGGAAATTATACCATTGTGGAGGAAAGGAAGCGCGGCAAGCGTCAGACTTACAGATAGAGTCAGAGAAAATGCAAGCGACAAAGATAATAAATGATGTGCATGTTAATTCAGTTGTCTGCAGCAATATCACTCTTTATCTTTTCCAAAAATTTCGCGTTCAAATACACTTGAAAGCACTCGTAACAAGCACCACACACACACACACAAGCACACAATTTTCACAAAACTGATTTCTAACCAGGAAACTAACGGCAAACCGATGAAAATAAGCAAATTGCTTTGTTTTTAGTATACACAACGTATACGATGTTATTCTCTTCTCTGCGCTCTTTTTATCTTTACCGCCTTCTTCTTCTTCTTCTTTTTTTCGGTCTGCACTTTGCAAACCGAGCATAGACATAAATTTAATCACACATTCAAACCAATAATGCAACTTCAACGAATTTGTTACAGTGGGATTGTGGTGCTAAAGACGACGACGACGACGATGACAAGGAAAGAGACGAAGAGATTCGCATGCTCTCTCTCTCTCACTCTCATTTTCTCCTTTTGTTTTCCGTTGCAGGATAATTCGACGGGAAAATTTTCCATGAAATCGAATACACACAGCGAACACAAGAATCAAATTAGAAAACTTTCTTAATGTGCTCTCTCATGCTCATGCTCATGCATTTCACTACACAATTTGCTTCATCGACAACGCTTTGCTTCCCTGTTGCCGCCACCGTCGTCGCCGCCGCTTCAAACACAGATGAACGAAAATTCAATGAAATCATTTCGTGTGTTTGGCAATTATGTAAAGTTTTGCTCTTAGTCATTCTTTTGCAGATTTAACTATTTGCCATCGTGCATATGACTCTGAATGAATCATTTTCTCTTTCAATCTCTTTCTCCTTCACACTTCAGACGATAAATTGTTCTCGTCGGTCTTATCAACATTGTTGATGGCATTTTCTGCTCGAGAACAGCAACGAAAAAAAGAAACGAGATTGAAAACTGAAGCATATTTTGTATGGAAATTTCTCGAAATGCACATTATTTTGATTTTACCACACCAAAATACATTGTCCAGCTGTTAAAGTGTCAGCCTCACCTAACGTAGATCTGCAACTTGCTGCCGTTCATTTTAATCTTCCTCACTCTCTCTCTATTTCTTCGAAAAATATAAAATGTATCGTAAAAAGTACAACCATAATACTGAGCATATATAATTGTGAATGGAGCTAGTTTGCTGGCAGCCCAATCCCTCTATATCTGTTTTTCTCAGTTCCCCCCCCTCTCTCTCCGTTCAATTTCTCGTTTAACTCACTCGAAATGCCGGCAAGTGCCGAATTCCAACCGTTTATACACAGAGTGTACCAGTCAAATGTTTCCAGTTATTAACAGATAAACCAATTTGTTTACGCTTCGGGATTCGGATTACATTTTATTTCACAAGTTAGCCGAAAAATTGAATAAAACTCAAATCTTTTGGACCGAATCCAAGCTAAATTGAGCGTTTACAAGCGCATTTGTCGGTTAACAGATTTTCACTTGAACATTTTCGGGATTTGCTCTAATTAAGCAATAAACGTGTTCACTTAACGGATTCTACACACAAAATCCCAACAATTGGCTGGTTCGGTGCAGAAAGCTGGTTAATTCGCAAAAGTGTTTTTTGTTGCTGTTGCCGCTGTTGTGACTCGTGTTTCTTGCTTCGATTTGTTTGTCCTTTCTTTTTCTGCTGTTATTCTCTCGATGCCGGTATTTTCGCCGTTTCATTTCGAATTTGTTTGCAGCCCTTGTAATAATTGAAGTGCGAATGGTATTGCACTTTTTGGCAAGAAAGTGAAAAGATATTTAATATTAGATATTTTGGGTTTTGATGATATGAAATGTGACGAAGCCAAAGGTTGGCACAGATGCTGTGTGCACATTTCCTCGGCTAATAACTTTTATGAAGTATAATGAATCCAGTTCCGATAGCCATAAGCAAATGTGCCAAGCACTACTGTGCAAATACTCACATCGATATAAATCTAATCAATCCGGCGGCTTCGATTGCCATTCCGTTCCAATACCAAATGTGCTGAAACGAAACGAAACGATCCGAACCATCCGCCGCCCTTAATCGCATCGATACCAGTAATATATGGCTGCAAATGTGTGTGTGTGTGCAAGTGTGTACATGTGTGTACGGATGCATGTGCTTGCGAATATTCATAATGTCATTTTAATGCATAATTTCAGATTAGAGTGCCATAAATTGTGCAAAGCGGTAGCCTGATGAGTTTTAATCATAATAAAACAATAATAATTTCAATAACAGCGTTCAAAGCCTTAGATGAGAATCGGCTTATTGCACACAAGCTACTCTCGTTGATGCGGTGTTTTATAGCCGTTTCGTTGAAAATGCCAAGCGCACCACAAAGTTTGAGTACGGCAAATTCAGCAGCAACAACGACGACAAATACTACAACAGCAGCTGTAGTATCAGTAGTAGAAGTGATTGCAACGGCGACGGCAGCAGCAGCGGCAATGGCGGTGGGCAAGCTTCCAATTCTAATTCAAGATAAATTTACGCACATCAAAAATATGATTTATTGATTTAGTTTACGTTGGGCGCTTAAATTTTAATATGATCAAATCTCATTCGATCATAAACAATGATATATTGCAAGATTAGTCCGAAAATCGATTCAAATGAAAGCGGAATAGCAATGCAGCACACACGTTTGTCGCACAATTGGCATTCGGTATTTCGGTATTCGGGCGAGAGGAACATTCACATATTTGACGATGAATACTTTGTCAATTTCAGTAAATGTGTGCATCAAAATCATAATCGATCCCATGGCATTTGCACAGTGCGCGCTCTTTCCACTCATAAATATTAATGAAAATAATTATTGTCGGGCACAATGACTAAAAATAGATAAATTGTCATACAACTCTACCACGTAAACGTAGCTTTTTTGTTTTGTTTCTGTTTTCGCTCGTATATATTGTTTCATGCAGATCTTGTTATTGTTGGAAATTATGCCAAGGGCTATTTAATTTATTGTCGCTCAATCGAAGTTCAATCAATCGGTTTGT